GCGTCTTAGGTCAGACGATACGATTATCAAATCGATCATCGACTACTGTGCACAAGCTTCCCGGTACCAGCTGTACTGATGCACTTTCGATGCTTGAAGAAGGTGTTCATAATGGACAATCCGTTGTTTGCACAAAACCTCAACAAGTTCATGCCGTTATTGTTGAGGTTGCTAGGGCCGTTTGCTTCAATCTCGCTTCAATTTCCAGTTTTCAGGGTCACCTTTGAAGTGTGCATTAAAATTACACATTTCGTAATCCACACTTCTTGCATGGCACTTCTACGTTCCTAGGAGGGACTCTTCTGCGTCAGCTGTTGCGATTAGCTGGAAAATCAGTCTCGAAGGAGAGCATTATTTGACTAGATGTGCTATCGAAAGACATCAGTGTCAACTGTCATAAGGATTAAGAAATCTGCGTATAACACTGGGCTGCATTATTTCACCGGTCTGTGCATGCCCTGACCATCTGCTGCATTTTTCTTGATTTGTTAAATTAACCCTTTACTAGATGTTCCGTCATCTTTTAGCGTTCAGCGGGTAAACGGTATAACGAAATGTATATTTTGTATAGACGTTGACCAACAACAATTTTGCCTGGGATTTTTATGCAAATCTCTCTCCCCCTCCCCTCCTCTTCCCCTCAGACAGACAAAATTATCGAAATTTAGGGATACTCTGTCTCCTGACGAATCAGTCTAATCGCTTTTCGCAGCCCTGTACAATGGCGTTCTTAAATAGATCTCTTAGTAGCTTCTTTGTCATCCCAAAACTGTTGCTCTGAAATTGCATTAAATTTAAATTATGCCATATTCAAATGCAACACGAAATTTGCACTATTAATTTCATGAGTTTTAGTTGTAAATCAAAGTATCCAACGAATGACACCTCGTTATAGTAAACGATGCGACTTTTGCTAATATTATGCTTTAAGCAGATATTCTGATTTAGATCCACGGAAGAAATATTCTCGTTGTTCATTTCCGTTGCGTTTATAGTTGAGTCTTTCAAAGCTCTAAGCTACAGTAAGAGATGATTGTTAGATTTATACCGCTTTGCACCTGTCGTTATGTTAAACGCTTTATAGATTTTAAGAGGTATTATCACGCTGACGTGTGTCAGCATTCATACCTCGTAAACGGTACTACTGGCAACATCTCGATGGACCTTTCTTCCGGTCGCACCAGCCGCAGCGAAAACGGAAATCAGTGTCACAGGGAAAACAGCATGCTCTATCTCTTACTGATGTTTGGTACTCTATGGCTTGGTCTATTCATCTACAACTTCCGAAAGACGTAAGTGCGTAGCTTCATAGTATCATTCCATTTGCTTTGCTTGGTGAAATGTTCTTCGCTTTTTGTCTAAAAATCGTATGATACCACGAATTTAAATTACTGTATTACATCAAAATATATTATCATAAAGTAATTTAATGTAGTGTAACTAACGAGCTATGGAGTGAAGTACCTTCGACAATTCTTTAGCAGGTCTGTATGGCAGCTGAGAGATGCTGTGTTTGCCATTCAGACTATTGAATATCGTGTACCACGGGTCTGTTCAGATGGAAACATTAACCAATGTGCTTAGGTCTGTCGTTAAGGTGTTCTTTCTTCAGGTGAGCGAATCAAATCCCGTATAAAGGATTCTTTGCAAACGAGATTCACATCTCCACGGTAACAGCATTTTGAACCGTTCGTGAGTTGAATAGGTGTCTGTAATGAATCTCAGTTGCTACCAACTCGTGCTGCTTCCTGTTTTAGTCGTTTATGGCTTTGCTAAATTTGGACGAATCGATTGGTTGGTAGATTACTGATGGAGAAGCATTCAGTTTCTTGGATGAAAGTCAGACACTTTTGAAACTAAACGTCTACCATTTTTGTCCAGGGGCAGGGCGATAGCATTTTCAAATGCTGAATTAATTATAAGGAGGGCTACTATTCATATGAAAGGAACGAAGTGTAATGGGCGAGTGTCGCAAAACAAAATCAGCCACCAGCTTTTTATGATTTGCACATTGTGCTAATTTTTAAGTGGTTACCATAAAGGTCACAGCGAATTGCAGCCATACGACGCATGCTCTGGTATGAGCACACCTCCATGAGGTCGCCATCCTATACGTATTATTCGCAGATTGCTTGATACTGGTGTTTGTGTTACTTGTCACGAGGTACATTTGGGGAGAGACATTTGACATTCACACCAGACATACGG